AAGTATCGTAGACGTTCGTTACAACCGAGTCATCCTGTGTAACGAGGGAGTACATTCACAAGGAAAACTTGTACAGTGATTCGTTGAAAAATATAGTTTCTTTTCTAAAAAATACAATTTCATTTTCAAAACATACAAATAGACATCTTAAGAAATTAACAAAGTTCAATCAACAACTGCAAATGGTACAAAAATGAATTATTGCTCGAAACGTGTTGTCTCGGTGGATCATTTTGCGGGAGAAAAGGGAACAGGGCAGAGATGACAGGGTGTCTATGTATACGAAAGAAGAAAACAAAACAAAGAAAAAAAAACCATACTAACGCAAAACAATTGGCTTCGTGGTTTATTGCGTCGAACTGAATGGAATCCGAGGAGCATGTCGAAGAGGATGCTGGAGCTTAATTAGTGCGTGTCGGGGACCGAATGTCACGAGTCGTTCCATTTCTTTCTCTCGCATTTCGTGTGTGTGTGTCTTTTTGTCAGAATTCGTTTGTCCGCGAGTTGGATCTCAGCAGCCTCCGCCTTCCGTGCGACCCTAGTAATGAGAGAAAAAAAAAAAACAAAAAACACACAGAGAGAAGGACAGGAAGTTAGCTGCCGAACACCCTAGGCTAATCTCTCATAACTGGAGTGGCTCATTTGCGGGCGAGAGTCGCGCGAATGCTCATCGAGGAGTGAGAAAAAAGAAGAAAAACAGACTGAAGGGAAGAAAGAGAAGAAAAAGTGATAAGTGGAGAGCAATGCGTGTGCGAGAGGAGGACAGAGAGAAAGTAAGGGACAGAGATAGGGAGAGAGAAAGCGGAGATAAAGCGTAGAAGGGAGGGTGAGTTAGGGTAATTGGCACCAAGCCCTGTTTCCCGTGTTAGTCACCGCGATACACTGTGCTCGCGAAAGGGGATTTTCAAGTCTTTTAATACCCTGAAAACGGACGAAGCGCGTCTCTCTCCTGGAATAATAAGCGGCACAGAGAGTAATGGTGTATTTACATACGAAGCCACCGGCGCTGCTCCGAGGAAGTCGATGCAGCCAAAGCCCACAAGTCCGACCAACCAGATTGTGTCGTTTAATATTCCTCGGGAAAGTAACGTCCCCCTTGTTAAGTGAAAATTACTGGACGGTCGATGTTAGGTAAGTCTAAATATTGAAGGAAGGAGGAAATATTCGGAGAATAACGAGTTACTTTACCGCCTGACGAACTGCAACTTTCCTACACCTGTGAACGAGATTTTCGCGAAACAACCGTTGTACAGCGATACCTATTATCGAGCAAACATTTCACGATATATATGTATTCAAGTGATGCACACCGTGTGCACAAACACGTTCGATCAAAGGTGATTTCATCCGAATTCGACGAAGCTTGACGAAGCAGCAATTCGATCGACACGCGCTCGCTCGACAATTCCTATGGGAGCTCGCGTCCGCAAATCGCGGTGTGATTTGGTTCGGAGCCGGTATTTCAAGATTTTTCTTCTCCGAGGAGAGGAGAATCGTCGGAGACAATAAATAGATAAATTTCGACGTAATAGAGTTGACGGTACTGAATTTAAGAAGAAGGAAAAAAGGCTTGTCAGAAGGGTTTGGCTTAAGAGAGTTTCCACGCGAGGGCGGAGAAGAATCTCGACAGAAAATTGTCCGCCGTGAACAAAGGAAGACTGATCTGCTTTGTATCGTTACAAAGAGAATAAAGCCAGGCAGGTGGATGGCGTAGTGGGTGACGTATTGTGGATATTCGAAACAAGACGACGAAAGATGAAACGGATCCTCTCCAGGGAGGACACTATTGAAGAACGGCATAGATCGTTCGAGTGCCTATGGCAAGAACCATCGACCGGAACCCGATTCCTCGAGATCCTCTCCAACTATATGAAGATCGCGAATATTGAAATCCGGAGGGCGCCATCGTTCTAAATATAAATCTTTATTGCAACCTTCAACCCTTTCGATAAAACCGAAAGAAAAATAAGGAGAATATTTCCAAACGTAAAATTTCAAAAAAATAAACAAGTACTCCATAATAACGTCGCCAAATTAAATTTTCAATTTTATACCCCAAAAAAGTGACGAATTCTTTTTCAACCAAATTATTTCTTAGCCGTATAGATATAAGTTTTCAACGGTGTAACTTCCATTTTTGCCGTAGTATTGTAGAATGGAAAGGGAAGAAGAAGATTAGCGAAAGGGTTGAAGTTCCAACATATAATACTCGTCGCGACGACTGAAATAAATGGGAGCAGCAGGATCGATTAGTCGCTTGTTCCCTTGGATGTTCCAACGCCGTTGGCAAATCTCCTTACCGAGATAAATCTCGGAGGGGCATTACGAAAATGGTCGACTAGTCGAACTCCTTAACAAAGAGTTCCTCGTTCGCGGAACACAGACTCTCTATATACCGGTATCAAGGTTTAACGAATCTTTTTAAATTCACGCCGCGCGTCCCCTAACCAACCCGGTCTCTCTCGCAGTTTTCCTCAATTTCCTTCCTCTTACACTTCCACCAGCACCGAGCTAGTTCCTCTTGCACGGTCCGAGGGTAGTATCGGGGTATCAAGCGAGGGGCATAGCCCTAAGGCGAGAGTAAACCCGATTAGACGGTACACTAAATCTCATTCAACCAGCCTTCATTGTTAAGTGCTTCCACCGTCTTTCGTTCCTCGTAAAAAGCGCTCCATGGCCCTCCCCTGCTGAATTGCCATGCGACGCTTCGTCTCGCGGAAATGTTCTTGTATTCCGGGGCTCTGCCGAGCAACTTTTATAGCCCGTGTCTAGCTCGTTGGACGATCCACGATACTGATGAACATTAGCGACCTTTCGCTCGATTCTCCTCGACTCAACGATAATTCCATCCGTCACGAATCGTTTGGAACTTTCGCTTTTGGGCAACTCGATTAATTGTCGTCGAATTTGCGAGATGGAAATTTCAAAATTTCTTGAAATTACGCAGAAATTCTAATTTTCCAAGTCAACTAAGCCGAGTTCTCAAGCTTTGAAGATTGAATTGACGAACGAGGTTTCCACGTTTGAACCGTGTTTTCTTAGGTGAAAATTTCATTTTGAAAAATATTT